TGGGTGAAATACTGTGATGACTTTCCCTGACATTGAGATTGAACATCTCTTCATGTTTCCTAAACATTGGGATTTGCTGTCCTGTGGATTATCTATTCACTTGTTTGCTTGTTTGTGTTTTTGATACAGAGTCTTACAATGTTGCCTTGGCTGGCCTGAAAATTGCAATGTAGACCAGGCTAGCCTCCGAAGCATAGAGATCTACCTGCCTCTGCCTCCCAAGTGTTGGAATTAAAGGTGTGCGTCATCAAATCACTCCTGCCTTATTTGCCTCTTTTTATGAGGTTCTTTGCATTAAGAATTCATTCCTTAGGCATTCTTCATACTTCTGGCCCCATTATTTGTTGCTCACAGGTGTTATACATACTCTGGGATGCAGTTCATCCCTTCCACCTTCCTCGTGCTGCCCTGGGGTCCAGGAGTTGTTCTTAGTAATGTTTTATTCTAATTTGTGTGAGTGGCTCATGCATGTTGGACATATGACACCACTAAGCTACATCCCCAACAGTAGAGTTTTAGGTTTTCCTGTGACCAATTTGCCTGCTTTTCCTGTTGTAATGTGTGTCTCACAGACGAGGCATTCCCCTCGCTGAAGGTACAAAGCTACCGTTCCTTCTGTTTTCTCTCAAACGCTTTAAAACTGTGCTCCATAAACTTAGGCTAATAATTTATGTGGGGCATTTGTATACATGGCTTTATGGCTCTTATTTCATGTATTTTTTAAATTATGCTCACCTGCCTTTTCTTAGTTTTTTTTTTTTTTTTTTTTTTTTTTTTAAACATTTATTTATTTATTATGTATACAGTGTCTGCCTCCATGTGTGCCAGAAGAGGGCACCAGATCTCATTACAGATGGTTGGGAGCCACCATGTGGTTGCTGGGAATTGAACTCAGGACCTCTAGAAGACCAGCCAGTGCTCTTAACCTTTGAGCCATCTCTCCAGCCCATCTTTTCTTAGTTTTGATGGTGAATATGTATTCATTATTCTCATGAGAACATTGTGACTTTTTTTTTATTATTCAAGTTTGATTTGTAAAATTTCCTGGTTCATTTGCACACAATTTTCCATCACTTCATGTTGGGGACCATCACCATCCTCACTACCTCAGGCCTCTGAGATAGAAAATTACTGTTTCTTAAGAAGTAAGCAGAATGTTCAGCAGAGCATTCCTAGATACAGGCTTGTGGTTTTACAGCCAGTTAAAAAATAGCTCAGGATATTCCTCCTGCTACAGTTTTACAGCCAGTTAAAGAATAGCTCAGGTCATTCCTCCTACTGACCCTTTCATTCTGCCCACTTGCAAACCCTGCTCACCTCCTGCCTATGGTCCTCTATTAGCCTATCCTGAGAAAATAAAATTCGTCTGTTGATCAGAATATGGGCTTGCTGTCGTTCTTCCTGTCCCTTGTCCTTCAATTCCCTGAGGTGTTTCCCAGTTAGTTGTTGGCTGCCCCTCGGGTCGGGGAAACTTCAAACTGATCTTTCCGACTTGCTGTCTTTCTGTTGTTTGTGGTAAGAAGGGATGGGAGAGCTGAGCAGTTACTGTTGAGCCCTGTCTCCACAAGGACAACCTGAGGCACTGCCTATGGCATATGGGTTGCTGAGAGAGGGGGGGGGCTCTGATTGTGTGGGGCAGGCCTCAAGGGAGGCCCCATGCTCCCCACAACCTGCCTGGACAGGCTCAGTTGAGGAAGCCATGGAAGTCTGTTCTTGCTTAAACTCCCGTGCATGTGGGTACTCCAAGTGAGTGTGCACATTCTGCTCCCAAGACAGAGCTTGGAGTTGATGCTCTGCCCTCAGCCTGCACTTGTTCCCATTAGATTTTCTCTGAGAGATGAGATAGCTCACTGCAGGTTGTGTGTGGTCTGCATAGTTACACACATGCTCAGGAGGGAAGATTCGCTGTTAGTCGAGTGAATGCAGACATACTCATTTTCTCATTCATGAGCTTTGCTCTTGGCTTCCCTTTACAGTGTTTGCCCAAGTACACACTCATCTTGATGCCTGGGTTTCTCGGTTCTGTTCATGTGACTTCTACAGTAGTGTGGGAGGAAGAGGGTGCATGCATGCTTTCCTTCCTCAATGGATTCGATCATTTCTGATCATAAGGAAGATGACCTTGCCTGAGTTCTTTGTGCAAACTGTATAGAAAAGAATCTGAAGTCATTTACAAAGCATGCGATGTTTTTCTAGATTTCAAATGAGAAATCAAACAAACTTAGCCTATAAAGATAAAACTATTTTAGGCTATTTGGATTATATGATCACTGTGACAACTATTCAAATTTACTATTGTTGTTGCAAAGCTGTGATGTGCAAACAAACAAAACAAACAAAAAAGAAAAAAACACCTCAGTTTACAAGTAAGCAGACTTGATCTTCCCACCAGAATTTGCAGATGATCGTTCTTTTAAATTCCAGCTTTGTCTACCAAGAGATCTAATTATCTGATTAAGTGATTTCATAAAACCAGGTTTAGACCAAGGATTTCCATTACCAAGGATCTCTGTGGGCTTTCTCTGCAGAAGTAAAATTCAGCATGGAAAGATAATGATTACACACCCATTTAAAGTTCAACAAGAGTGCAAAGGTCAAAGTCGGGTGGGTTGTCCATTAATCTTTATTCCCCCAAATCAGCATTGTTCTGAGCTCTAAGCTTGCTTGATCTAAGCATGTGTCTGTCCCTGGTCTCTTCCTGTGTTTCATACTCTTTCTGATTATAGATGGCACCCACACGCTCAAGTCCAGATTTTAAAATTTTAGTATTGCGTACACACACACACACACACACACACACACACACACACACACACACGTATATGGCAGCTTCCTCCCAGACCAGAAAAGGGTGTCAAATCCCCTGGAACTGAACTGTGAACCACCTAGAGTTGGTGCTGGGAACTGAACTCTGGTCCTCTGAAAGAGCAGCAAGCAATCTTAACCACTGAGCTACCCCATCCCTTTTATCTTATCATGGCCACTGAGACCCCAGATCTGAAAAGTGTCTTTCCTTCTACCAGTTAATTACTTTGGAAGGCCAACACAGAAGTGGCTGAGTGAGCCTGAGGCCTGCTTTGCTGTGTCTGTGTACCTGTGCCCTGGAAGCTGAAGCATCTTTTGTACTAAAGCTATTGGGTGGAGAGCAGTGTGGGAGGGATCCATGTCCTTCATTAAGAACTTTGGACCTGGGCTGGAGAGATGGCTCAGTGGTGAAGAGCACTGGCTGCTCTGCCAGAGTCCTGAGTTCAGTCCCCAGCAACCACATGGTGGCTCACAACCATCTGTAATGGGATCTGGTGCCCTCTTCTGGCTTGTATGTGTACATGCAGCCAGAGCACCACATAGAACTAACATTGGACCTAAAGTTACTCCACAAGAGAAACATATCTAATAGTCTTTATATTTTAAAAACTAATATTGTAAATGTCACTTGTTCTGCTTGCTAAACAGTTTGTAGGGACCTAAGTTATTGTCCTAAGAAACTAAGACTGTTTTCCCATTGTCACCTTTACTTCTAATGTTAAGCTAGCAATATAAGTGCTCTGTGTGTGTGTGTGTGTGTGTGTGTGTGTGTGTACACAGAGAACTAACATAGTTACATAAAAGAGAATGGGAAATTTTAAAAATCGTAAACAAGAATAGTAACCCATTCACAATTCAGTTGCTCAGAGAGAGTGATCACTAACATGTTCGTGCCCATCTCTTGTGACATCTCTCTGTTAGTTTGTACCCACTTAGATTAGCTGTAAAATTTTCACATGCAGGAGCTGATGTGCAAAGTAGCTTTAAAACCCACTGTACCCACTGTTCTACCAAAGAACTCGACATAGGCATGCGTGGGCTAATACAGCCCAGCATTAACTTTAATAATACAGTCCGACATTACCTTTAATGGCACTTTGGCCTTCTACTCTAGCTGTGAACTGCATGGATAGTCCTGATGGTGAGTTTGAAGTACTTTGTACTCTTCTGTTGTTATTATTATAGCAAAACTAAGGTAAACATTCTTGTGCATTTTTTTCTGTCATGTGGACTATCTCTTCAAAATAAATTCCTGTGCTTTCAGCAGGGTTAGTGTATGGGGGTGTCCGTATTTGTGCATAATCTTGGTACTGGGGAGATTGTATTCAATTATTACCTCCCCAAACTTATTATTTCATATCATCACCAATACTAGAGAACAATCTCCCTCCCCCTATCTATCTTCCTCCACCCCTTCCCCCTCCCCCCCCCCCCCCGTGCTGTCACTCCCTGTGGTGACACAGGGCCTCGGTAGTCTGCTGTCCCTGCCTCAGAGCTCTGGGGTTAAGAGTGAGCACAGCCCTCTACTTGGATGCTGGGATCCAGAGCCAAGCCCTCATCCTTGCACAAATGTTCTTACCCACTGAGCCACCTCTCCACCCACAAGGGACATCTGCTTTTTTGGGTTTTTAAGACAAGGTTCTCACAGAGCTCTGGGTGTACTGGAGCCTACCATGGAGCCCAGGCTGACCTTGAACTCACAGAGATCCTCCTGCCTCTGCTTCTCTAGTGCTGGACTGAACCACTGTGTCCAGCACCATACTAGACAATTTCTAAGCAGATCATTTATCAGGATCTCGGCCCCTTTTGTGATCGCCATCACTGAGAAGATGGATTTCTTTAAACTAAAACACCTACATAACTCTTAGCATATGTCAAGAGACTCTACTAGCTATTTTCATGAGTAGGAAATAAATTAATTTATAGGTGAGGAAGCTGTTTACAAGTGATTAAAAGTCCTGAGTCTGGTAAGTAGGAAGCCAGTATTTAAGCCTTTCTGGTCATTCCAGAATCAATCCTCCTTGGCCATCGTGCTTTGCTTCCTTCTAGAGGAAAAGCCTAGCTTGCAAGGAGATGAGCCTGGGAACCAGGGTCTGGGAGGCAAATTCTATCAGGCCAAGTAGAGGTAAAATGGCAACTCATTTAAAAATAATCCGTTTATCTTTTGGTTTTGTTTCATTTGTTTGATTTTTTAGGGTGTGTCAAGGTCAGAAAAGATCAAAAGAAGCCTTGCCTTACTATCAGAAGGCTTTGGAATATACCGAGATCACCAAAGATGCAGAAAGTCTTGAGTGTGTACCAATACTAAGGGAACTGGCGGGAGTGGAGCAAGCCCTGGGATTCCACGACGCTGCTGTCAGTCATTTCTCACGGGTAAGGCACAATACACCGGCCACCAAAGCTGTGCTAGACACAAGAACCACAGCAGCTCTGGCAATGCCTGGCCCTGCCATCTGCTGAAGATAATTAAAACACTCGGTCAGCATAGATGTTTGGCAAAGATTTCCTTATTAGAAAGCTAAGCAGGTGAGTGCCAGACACCGGTCCCTGCTGCTAACTGCATGTTCCAGGGACAGCCTGAGACGATTTCTCACATCACATGGAGAACTCAAGTATGATTCCCAGGTGAAGTTTCTTTATCTTTATTGGTTCATTTAGAGCATATGCTGCTAAAATGACTAGTATATTTGAAAGGGAATAAAAGATGTATTCTTGTTTTAATTATGTGTATGTGTGTCTGTGTGTGGGCACATAAGTGTGTGCCCTTGGAAGCCAGAGCTGGAGCTGGAGTTATAGGCAGTTGTGAGCCACATGGGTCCTCTGCAAGAGCAATATACTCTCATAACTGCTAAGTCATTTCTCCAGCGCTATGACTAGGCCTTTTATTTGCACTCTAAAATCTTTGCCTGAAGACATTTAAAGGTGTTCTGTCAGTTGTTATTCTTAGTCATTGTGAGATTCCTTGGCTTGTGTGTCTTTTGGGGTTCTCCAAAGAAAATAGGACATGTACAGCTGCCACAAATAGAATGTGTAATAAAGGAGGGAGGGGGAGAGAAAAAGGGAGAGAATTTTTAAGGAACTGGTTAGGGCAGTACAGAAAGGCTGGAAATGGGAAACCACAGTGTATTTTTTTTTTCAGGTCAACTGATTGGCTGAGGTTCATTCATATGGTTGACAGTAATCTCTGTTACTTAAAGCAGACAGTGTTATCTATAAAACACAGTCTTCTTAAAACATCTAGACTGGTGTTTGACTAAACAACTGGGCACCAGAGCTGCATTGGTGACACCTAGAACTAGCCACCACGGGGAGTCAGATGGCTGTGTGTTACATCATCTGCTCAGAGCACCTTTTCACGTTTTTCCTAGCGCTTAAAATATGTACTAACCATTCCTGGTATTTCCAATGAGACAATAATGACATGCTACTAAGAATACATTATAACTATGTCTTTTAAATTTTGTCTGACAATTTACACTCCCACTCACAGTATGTTGGAGTGCCCCCAACCGCTCACTTTATCTAGATCATCTCTTTGAATCATTAATACCACTGCGTAACATATTATTTTCAGCTTATAGATAAGGAAGACGAGAATTAGAGAGATTGAGTGATATGCCCAAAAATACATGCCCCCCAAAAGGCATCACTCAGATTCAAAACTAGCGTTTAAAAAAAAAAAAAAAACCAAGATTCCTCCACCTGATATGTAGAGGTAGGCTGGGGATGCTGTGCCGAGCATGGGAGGAAAGAAATCTCTTAGAAGGCTACTGAAATAGCAAAAGCAGAACTTGAGGTGGTTTTGCCAAAGGATGAAGATACTGGGGATGGAGGAACATAGATGATTTGAGACAGGTTTGGGAGGCAGTGTAGTTAGGACATAGAAATGAGGACAGGAGGAGAACGGAAGCAGATTCTCAGATTTCTGGGAGTACAGGCCACCAAGGGTATGCTGGTACCATGTGCAGGAGAGGCAGGGTGAGCAGGTGATAACAGGCAGGTAGACTCCAGGCTGAACCATGAATCTGTGATGCTGTGAGGCAGATAAGTGCAAGCGACAGTGGTAGTTAGAGGGTACTGAAGCTAATGGACCTGTCCACCTGGACATGGTGATTGTCTCAGGAGAGGATGGCTCACCTTGGTGCCAGTTTCTAAAGTACTGAAGGGCGAGGCAGGCTGTCTCAAAAAAGCCTTCATAAAAGGTAAGACAAAGATTGGTCACTACCTAAACAAAGAAAGAAAAGAAAAGAAAAAGATTGGTCACTCAAGTTATGATGCCATGCCCAGGGCCATAGGGATGATAAGAACAGTAGTCGGGCATCATTCAGGCAAGACATAAAGCCCTAGTGAGGAGCCCAGGCAGCAGTCGGAGGTTTTCAGGCAGTGATAGCAGAGTATCCGTCTAAAAGGATGGCTCTGTGGGATGGAGGTGAATTTGATACATGATGGATATAAGCAGAGAGGTTTAAAGGGGAGTGCAGAAGTCTAGGTTTGGAGTGGAGATAGCCTGGATTCAGGAGGCCAGTGAAAATGCACAGATGTGCACATACTTGAGAGATGTGAGCAGAAGGAATGAGTGGCAGGCTGGGAGGCAGGCACAGATGCAGGTGTCAGAGACAGAGTTAAGTTTTACCAGGCGTATCTGGCTTCCTTCACCGTGAGGTATGTGGCATTATTTATTTTCTATAGGAACTCTGGCAGGCATGTGAAATTTTTGAGTTAATATCAGTAATTCTGGATATTCTTATGTAAAAAATAATTTGCTTCAGTCAGCTTCTAGAAGTGAAACTGCTGAGAGGAAGGATATGAATATTTTATAATTCTTGACTCATTGGCATCTTTCCAAAGAGTTGTTTCGATTTATTCTTAATCATTAGAGTGGTATTTTAGTACCACAGACGCTCCCTTTTAGAACCCAGCCCTGCAGCTTACACCTGCTGCTCCTCGTCCCGTGGGTCTGGCAGATATGTAAAGATGTGCATCCACCAGTGTAGATGCATTCAGAATAGCTTAGCTGCCCTAACAATCCTCCCTGCCATTCTGATTCCTCCTTCCCTACCTGAACCCCTGGCAGCCACCCATCGTCATAGTAGTTTGACTCTTCTAGAATGCCATGTAGCTGGGATCATATGGGATGGGTCCAGACTGGCTTCTTTTACTTTGCAACACACACTTATGTTTCCTCTGTATGTGTTTATAGATTCATTTGGTTGTGTTTGAATGTTCAGTGACTCCAGTACTATATGAAGGGAAGGCTGCCTGTTTTCCGAGCGAGTGTGGCTTTCATCTAAGGTCTAACTCTACTCTGTTCTACGGACTTATTTGTGTCACTCTGCTTCCCCATCAGGGGATGCTGGGCTCTACTTTCAGTCTCTTAGTGTTGTGTTGGCTGTTTTCAGTCTTCTTCTCATGTAAACTCTAGAATCAGTTGTCAATAGCCACAAAATGACTCCTCAGTCTCTAGAATTGACACCTTGTATCATTGTATCCTGCTGTGTGTGTCTTTCAGAAACTCCCTTTCATCACAGTTGTAGTTTTATAGTTTCATCACCTGGATATTCCACTTGTTTTGTTAGATTTCAGTTTGGAATAAAATTTTAAACGAAGTTGTATTAAATAGTTCAATTTGCGCTGATGGTAATGAAAATAATTTTATATTTTTAATTTTAAATTCCCTCTCATCTGTCACTGGATATATGGAAACAATCAGCTTTTACCTTGCTACAAGTGCTTCTTGGACCCAGGATTTTAAAAAAACAAGACAATTCTTTCAGAATTTCAGAGTATCTCATCTGCAAGTAAAGACTGTTTTCTTCTTCATTCCCAATCTGTATTCCTTTTATTTCATTTTCTTGCCCTATTGCACTGTTCAGAACTCAGGGTTAGCAAAGAGTGATGTAGGAGAGCTGCAGGCTGTATACCACTGAGTATGACATCAGGTGTTTCAGAGTTACAAAGTTTCCTCCTTACCCAGCTCTCTAGAGTTGAGTTTCCTTCTTAATCATGAGTGGGCATTGGACTCTGTTGACTGCATTTTCATGTACTGATATGATCCTGTGAAATTTTTTCTTTAGTTATATTCATGTTATAGAGTATATAAGTTGCCTTTCAAATAATATTCCTTAAACTTTTTCATGACTATATCCACTTGCAAAGTATAGTTTTTCTTTTGTTTACCAGTTTCTAAAACTCAGTCTATCAAATGAAACTGTGTTCAGATTAATTCAGCAAGGGTCACAACTCATAGCAAAATTCACTGGGATGAAAGTGGCTTCACCAAGACCCAGCATTGCCAGCGTGCATGCAAAGGTTTGAGTTCAGTGTAGAGAAGCATAGCCAAGCTGTGTTAGTGCATCCCCGAAGTCTCTGGGCCTTCCTAGAAAAGGCAGGTGTGCTTAAATAAAACACACAGGTCAGTTAAAGCTGAGCAGATGGTTACATTGTTTCACAGTGTAGTAGACATGCCAGTGTGGATTTTTTTACTTGAGAAGGAAACCTAACAATCATGAGACACTAGAGTTAGGCAGGCCACGGTTTAGGAACTACTGGCTTACAGACATGCACATGCCTAAAAGTATGAACCAAAAAAGGGAATCATGTAAGAATGTGATGTTCCAGAGTATCAGGGGTTTTCAAACTCTCAGGAGACCTTGGCACTATGTGAGTGGGAAATGAATGAGCTGGTGTCTCTTGCTTGTGAGGCCTGTATTCATCATTTATAGTACTTTCCTGTATTTGTTTTCCCTATCTATGTTGATATACATATTAGTATGTACACAGACACATACATATGGTCAAAGGGATAACTGCCTACTTTGGAGGGGCCAAGAGACAGCCCAGAAGGGAAAAGTGTTTGCCAGCATGTACAAAGACCCAGTTCAATCCCTGGAACTCACGTGGTGGAAGGAGGGAACCCACCTCCACAATTTGTCCTCTGGCCCCCCACACGCAGGCCATGGTGTGCTTGTGCATGCCTATATACTTACACACATGTGCACACAAGCTATGTCAAAGTGTAACAAAATTTTAAAACATTTTGAAAATATAATGTCCCTTATTCCCAGACATTTAAGTGTGTTTTCTGTAAGGACAAGGATAGCCGCCATACAGTTATGGAACTTAGGAGGTTTAATATTGGCAGAGGTCACATTATGCTTTGTGGGTTATCTCCATTCTGCCCCTCATTTTTCATTCAATGCAGATCTAGTAAAGGATACTGTGTTGCATTAGCTATCTTGACTCTGGTTCTTCCATCTGGAATAGTTTCTCACTCACCAGACTCTGCCTTTTATGACATTGAAATTTTAATACATATTCATATGTGCCAGTTTCTTATAGACTGATTCTCAGTTTGAATTTGTCTGATGTCTTCT